GCAATTCGAGACGTTCCCGTTTCACCCCGCAAACTGAAGTCATTCACGTTTCACGTCTCAAACCATACTTTTCGCGCTGTGAATCGCCAGTGAGTGACTGACTTTATTGGTAACTTCGCGTCTTTCTTTTTGTTTCGTCTTTTCCTTACATTTTTCCTATTTTTCTTATTTCTCATTTAACTTTTGTCCCCACAACCAACTACGTTATCCGCCTAACGCCATTCATTTTGCTCGCATGCTAATTTTCATCTAATTTTCTTTTCTTTTTTTGCCTTCATGTACAGCATCGAGACGATGCTTCTTGGGAGAGGGGGTAATGCCACCATTGATGAACGAGCCACTGTGGCTCATACGCGTTTTTGGGGACGAAGAAGAAGAGAACATCTTCGTTGCTCTGGTTCAAGTGAACTCCTGGCTGCAGGTCTTGCTTTGTTCGTGACAATATATATATATATATATATATATATATATATATATATATATATATATTTCTTCTTATTTACATTCCATTGATTCCAATAACTTCACCTGTACATTCCTTGGCATTACTGTCTGTTAGATCTCATTAATATTGTGTTGAAACACGGAAAAACGAGCCCGCAGGTATACACTTCTTTCGCTTATATATATATATATAAGGAGATCCGTGAGTGGCCGAGCAATATCATCGAAGTTGATGACCAAGCGGTCAAACTATGAGCAGTGCCCTATAAAGCTGCGAACTTCTTGTGTGAAGCACGGAATCGGAAATTGGGAGAATTGGACACCAGTGCATGGCGTCAACAATGTGGCCGAGTAGTTTAATGTGCCGTCGCCCAAATGCGTACTTCGACGAATGGAGTTGGAGGCCAGCGTAACGAAAAACTTCAAGAATGCTAAAAGACGAGGCAGGTGGCTTTCAAAGGTGGGCGAGAAAACGATTACATGGTCCATATAGCAACGGCAAGTCGACCATTTAAAACCGTGGAGAAGGAAGTGCATAATTCGTTCAAAAAATGTCGGAGGATTGCACAACTCAAAAGGCATGACCTTATATTGGTAAAGGTTGTCGGTTGTGATGAATGCTTTCTTCTCTCGGTTGTGGTCGTTGAACGAAATTTGCCAGTATCCAGATCCAAAGACAAGGGACGAGAAACGCTTGGCACCGTTCAGGCAGTCGAGCACATCATCAAATCGAGGCAGGGGATGAACGTTCTTATTGGTGATCCGATCTAGGGTGGCGATGGATGGATGGATCTAACTGGCTGTGCCCTTCCCATCGGGTGGTGTCTCACGACACCTAGGCATAAATTTAAATTCTATCACTATGTTTTTAAGGATTGAATATCACTCGCGCCTTGATAGTAGTCACCAATCAGTTAGCCTCCTCCTGCTTGTTTCTACTCGTTTAAAGTCTCTTTTGCCTTCACTGTCCCTAAACCCCAACGCTTTGAAAAATTCCACGCCATTATCCTGGACTAAAGAGTGGAGCCCTTTACAAAACATTATCAAACACTCAGGCCTTTCCTCCTCGTCTCCACACGGACTACATACCGTGTCTGCGCTTTCGTATTTGGTTCGGTACATGTTTTTCCGCAACACTGCCGTTCTGGCCTTGAACAGCAAAGAGCTACCCCGAAAACTATCATTGATCTTTTCTTTCGCAAATTTTGAAAGTTCGGTAGGTGTCCAGTGATGATTTCAAGGGTTACTGTATATGCTACCTTTAGGTAGCAGAGTTGCGCCAAGGTACGCCATCTTGGGTTGAAATGTCTTGCGGGAAAGCCACTCACCATCTGCGTAGGAGCAGCGCTGGTGCTTATAGCGTTGTTTTATTTATTTATTTTTTCTTTTCTATCTACTTTTATGAAGGTACGAGACAAACTTAGTTGCTCTGGTCATGCCTGGAAGCCTTGATTTTAAGTTTACGTTTTTGGTAAGAATCAAAAACCGTGTGTCACCTCATTGAACCAGCTGTGCATATGTATATTTATAGTAGGCCACACATTATCTTCCGGCTTCTTTTGGACTGTTTTCTCCCTTTACATATATAAAATTATTTTTCACTCTTGATCGCTATCGAGCCAGGAATGGAATATTTTCCTCGTGTTCAGCTCATTCATTAGCTGTGTGAGTTAACCAGCTAAAGCTTTGTAGTCTTCAACTGAATCGAGCGGGATAGTGATCGAGAGTGGCCGTGCGACGCCCACGTTAAGCGCGCATCTCATATTGCGATCGTATTACAATCGCGACTAACGACAATTGATGTGTCCCGGCTGCGGCGGCTGCATTTCCGATGGAGGCGGAAATGTTGTAGGCCCGTGTGCTCAGATTTGGGAGCACGTTAAAGAACCCCAGGTGGTCAAAATTTCCGGAGTCCTCCACTACGGCGTCTCTCATAATCATATGGTAGTTTTGGGACGTTAAACCCCACAAATCAATCAAATCAACAATTGATGTGAATCATTGTTCAACAACCCTGTCGTGTCCAACATTCTTTTCGCTTAAGGTTTCAAAGCAGCATTCAATTCACGCACTAGCAGCAACACCTTGCCGATTCAAATAGTTCTAGTTTAAATTTTCTATTTATTTTTAGCCTTTCGACCACCAGGCCCCGCCGCGGTGGTCTATAGTGGCTAGGGTACTCGGCTGCTGACCCGCAGGTCGCGGGATCAAATCCCGGCTGCGGCGGCTGCGTTTCCGATGGAGGCGGAGACGTTGTAGGCTCGTATGCTCAGATTTGGGCGCACGTTAAAGAACCCCAGGTGGTCAAAATTTCCGGAGCCCTCCACTACGGTGTCTCTCATAATCATATGGTGGTTTTGGTACGTTAAACTCCACATAGCAATCAATTTCGACCACCAGACTAATTTGGCCGTATGCAGCTGACAAACGTTACCCAACTCTGCATTTATAACGTATTCACTACTGAATGTGTGGTTAATACAAATAGAGCAAGTTTTGCAGTGCCAGTGGACAGATTAAAAAAAAAAGTGAGGTGCATGGGCGTCAGCAGAGAAGTGAAAAAGCGGCCCTTGCCCCCCTCAAGCCAAAACTGCACTTGCCCTCACCAAAGCAAGACCGGTGCTCTCGCTCTCCTAAGCCGCATTGCAACAATGGTTTGCACTCCCAAAAGAAAATTCGTCCGACGACAATGGCCAAGCGTTTATTCTTTCCGACTGAAAACTAATCTTTCGATTGCAGCACCCGCTGCACCCACGTCTAATCACATGGGCTCTACGTGGTACAATTGAACACATATAGCATTGGCTGCCACATTTCTTGTGAGCAACAGGCAACATGGCTACATTACCGAAGAAGCTCAGCGAGAATGACAACAGCCGTTTTATAGCCCCGCCTCATCTGCCCAGAACCTCCGTAGCGTTGGCTTCTCCGCAGTGCAAATGAACCACCTATGGCTACGTGATGGCGCTCGGCGAATAGGGGCGGTCAACTCCTGTAGGCGGAGCGAGCGGTACCCAGAAAACAGTGGTGCAACTCTGCTACCTAAAGTTAGCATATGCAGTAACTCTAATGATTTCGTCGGAAAAGTGCCAGCTGCTTTTTTTTTTTATCTAAGACCAGAAGGGATGCCCAAGGACTTGAAAAATACTCGATGACGTCTTTTTTGAGCAATTCTCGACCTCCCTCTGTATAACTTGGTACTCAGCATGAGACACGCGGTAAGGACGTTTGTGGGGTGGGTTGGCGTCGCTAGTGTCGATGCGGTAAGCTATGGCGCTTGTGCGGCCTAGGGGACGGTCGTCGATATCACAGATATTCAGGTAAAAAAACAGAACACCCAAAGCGCTTCAACTTGGTACGGTAACAGGTCGCCGAATATCATTTTGTCTTGGACCAACTCACCTTGTGGGGTGATGCCGGGTTTCGCCACGGTCTTGGTGTCAGGAGTGAAAGAGCAAATTTTACATTCCTCCAGGGTGGAAAGTTCGGCGCCTAATGTGATGCCTTGAGGAAGAACTCGGGTATACTTTGAGCGTATCTATCTATCTATCTATCTATCTATCTATCTATCTATCTATCTATCTATCTATCTATCTATCTATCTATCTATCTATCTATCTATCTATCTATCTATCTATCTATCTATCTATCTATCTATCTATCTATCTATCTATCTATCTACAACTTACAGCTCTCCTAGCCTGGCCTTTTCGATAATGTTATCGATGCCGAAATTCCTATGGCAAAACATGATTGTATGACGAGCCCAAATGACTAGTCATAACATGAAAATCGCGACATATATGTCATGAATGTTATGATTACAATTCATACTCTTGCTGCTCTTGCGCTGGTTTCCTTCACACGACATATTGCAAAACTGGTATGGTAAGGCATGACTGCATGACGAAAACAAGTGACAGAACCTAACGTGGAAATGATAACATGCATTTCATGCAATTCATGACAACATGTCACGCTAACGGTGCGCTCGCGATCGTTTCGCTAAGCTTTAGATATACCACATTTGGTATTACGTCACGCGAATGGACTACGAAGGTAAGTTACACATCCAAACATGATAATCATGGCAAGCATGTCATGTAAAACATGATTACATGCTACGCTCATAGCATGCTTGTGGCCGTTTTGATAGGTCCAAATATATCAAATTCGGTATCACGTGACGTGAATAAACTATGAAAGTAAATGACTTGTCCAAACATTATAATTATGACGCAGAAGTCATGTACGGTATAATTTATGTCCGCCTTCTAATGTTGGGGTGATTTCAAAGGGACATATCAACCTTTCTCATTCGTGCTTCACTTATTATCGATTTCCACTGTACGGGGGATCTGCCAACTTTTTTTCGCCGTGAAGAACAAATTTTGGTATGGAAGCTTCCACCTACCAGCCACTAGTAATTAGTGCCGACCGATGAACTTTGTGGAATTTTACTGAAGAGACATTTATTTATCGCAGCTCATATGAGCTGTTTTACTTCCTTTTTTTCTAACCTAACTTGTTGCTCTAACTGCCATCTCAACTTTCAGCTTGGTCTGCAGATGGATAAAAACAACATCGACTGCATAGATGACAAAGAGTGCAACATGGTGAGTCCGCTATCTCTCAATTGTCCACCGTTTCCCGCACTGTCATGCTTTTCTAGGGAAGAAGTGTGCACTTCGGTAATAAGACGCAGGTGCTTAAGAGGGGAGATGGGTTTCAAAGATAACGGGGGTTATTTCTTCACCAAATTAGGCGAAACTGCACAGCCTTGTTCATTTTCTTGAGCTTATTTCAACTATCCAGGTATATTTTGTGCAGGGTATTTTCTGAGTTATTGGTAACTACATTGTATTTTTTGCTTAAACCATGAAAATTTATGTACATAAAATTACATAGCCTTAACACATATAATTAACACTAGAAAGCCTTAGGAACGCAATGCTGCAAGCTGATAAAAAATAAACAAGTTCTTCTCGACTTACAGCACAATAAATTTCACTGTCTGCATGTAACATAAAACAAAAAAAAAACATTTTATCGAAAGTTAAAAAAGTTGAAGCCACACTATAAAAACCGGATCTTAGCGTTGCTTTCTGTGTACATTTAACTACATTGTGCAAAAAGATTTGTAGCTCTAACTATTCTGATCCGCTTTTACTGAAGAAGCAAACAGGGAAAGTGGTCAAAATCTGTGTTCTGAGGAAATGAAAAAAAAAAACGGTTGAAACTTTATGCTGCCTCATTCAGTGAAAATTATTATGTAAAATACTTTTAATTAGTTAATATGCACCGGGCATGTGATCGGACTGATTGTATGAGCGTCTCGTTTCTTCAGCTGCAAGTTGTCGCGGCCTGCTCGTCTGCCGCTAAGAGCTCTTATAAGTTCGTTGACGGTACTGACGACGCCGGTGTGCGACGAATGTGCGCGAGTCACCCGCGATTCATCGTATGACAAAGTGATGTTTTCAGGCTTGTTCAGACTGAGTTGTAGATGTCACAGACCGAACTCGCGCACTCGCTCATCTATTTCGAGGCTGCGGCGAGGTGTTCGTTTCTTTCTCACGTAAGATTGCTGCATTGTCGAAAGGAGACCACAGCGCAATATGTTCATTGTTGCGAACATGTCCTTAAAAGCACTCCACCCGTTGCTGATAGCCTCCATTGCGAGACGGCGAGCACGTTCATCATGAGCGGATTGATTTACTGTTGTTTGTCGGTGCGCGACGAACTCCACTTTCACGGCCCGTCACGCAGTTCACACACAAACGAGGTCGTTTCGACAGAAAGGGGGGGGGGGGGGGGGACTGCGGCATCGGCACGTTTAGCGATAAGACTACGCTTCCTCGTCCCGTCGCTGCAAACATTGATATACCTTCTAGCTTCCCCTATGCTTTTTTACTCGCTTTCCTCCAACTGTTGAGGCTCCAAAACACCGCCGCTTTCAGTGATTGTCGACAAACAACAGGCTCGTACGTAAGCCAGGCCTACACCAGTGATTCGGCTGCCGCCATTGACCACCGCGAGTTCGTTATCCTCGTTGTCCTGGGCCTCAGCGGCACTCTTTCTGAAGTTCACGGGGGACGAACCATCGCCACACCCACTTCACAATTTTGTGTGGCGCGGAAGTTTTTCACTGCAGCACGCAGTCGGCAGCACCATGTCAAAATGACGCATTCCCGTGCGTGTCGCGATGGTAGGGTGGCTAGAATGGGGAAGTGTTATAGAGGAATGGAAGGTGTGATGATCGCGGCAGCGCTCTCATTGCCTAGTGAGGCCACACTGTGCGTTCTCGCCGGTGGGGAAAAATTAGGCGCGTCGGTCAGAGGTGCCGTTGGCTTGTGCCCACTGTGAGAATACGTTTCTCGTGTCTCGTACCATAGTGTACTAGAATATACTCGTACGGAGCACTGCTGTCAGAAAAGTGTGGCCTGCGTTTTTATTGCTTACCGACCGATTCCTTGAAGGAGATTGTGTCAGCGGATGTCGTCGATCTTTGAACCGCTCTGAAGAATGCCGTCGGCGGAGAAGAAAAAAAACAACAACGCAAAGGTGGTGTTTTGTGCCAGGTTCCAATGGCTGCTTAAAGTCCTGTGTTGAAATAAGGTCTCTTTAATTTGGCTGGCTGCACTGGCGCCACCCGTTCAACGGGTGCAGCACCTTTCTTCTCGATTTGCTGGCGCCGCGGGCGCGCTCTGCACTGGCTCCCTTGTTTTGTCGCGGTACAAGCGGCTGCACGAGTTTTCCACCTGCCTGCACTTGCTAAAAAAAAGGTGCAGCATGGCGTGCGCCCCTTCCTCCTCCCAAACTTGGAGCAGACGGCGTGGTGTGTGGTTCAAGGCGCACGTACAAAAACAGTTGAGTCAAGCTCCTGCCCCATTTTTTTTAAATGACATGACGACAGCCATTGCGGCAGTGTTTTGGTAAACAACGCCATAGATACACACCGCGCGCATCGATGGTAAACAACTCCTTGATACACACCAGGAACTCTTTGTGCACTTGCATCTTTGTTTTAGCAGTAGCCGCAGCGCTCTAATTGCTTTAGCGTCACGGCTGCACCTGCACTTGCTGAACCGGCGATGCGCGCCCCCAGCACCGCTGGCACTGCTGCGACACTTTTCGAAAACTAGTGCAGACAGTGCAAACCAAACTCAAGTGACCTGTAACTCTCCCTGTTTCGTGCACCTACCTGCAAGAATGATTTAGGCCCGTATTCACAAACCAACCTCAACCTTATATTGAGTTTTCTTCATCGGTTTTAAGCCGTTATTGCGCTTGCTGAACAAAGTAGGCTAGTATGCATGAACCAATCTCATTGTTATATTCTACCCTGTTACAATTTCTGAGCCCTTATATCGCACGTAGAAAATGCATAAATTTGAGCAAAACGTCAGGAAATGCCAAGATGGTTTGTGATAAGAGCCTTAGAAAAGTAGAGATGTGTCATACCAAGGGCTGGCAAGCCACTGCAAGAGAATTCTACAGGTTGCGAAAGGCATTTTGACTCAAGGCACGCATATAATGCCTGCATGTTTAGGGCAATAGAAAAGTGGTGGTTTCTTGAATTTAACACATTGGCGTGTTTACAGCCCCGGTGGGAGACACGCCTCGTGAGCAGCAGATCTGTAATGGAAAAAGTCAGACTAAAGCATTACGCGTGTTCATTCTCTGCTTAGAGCACTAAACCAGCAAGCTACACAAAGTGAAGTAAAAAAGGTGAAGTCCTGTGCTATGTAATGTTTTCATGTACCGTTTCCAATAAACTTGTATCAAACCACCAGTCTTCTATTTTCACGCATGCTTCTATACTGCATTTCAGAAAAACTGCACTGACTTTCACTCTTTGAATTACTATAACAATCCAAACTCTATAACTAATCTGCGAGCGACACACGCAAGGCTGTTCAAATCAGCCACTCTGCGAGAGCGATTCCTCTAAACTGCTTTTCCCATGACACGCTTTTCATAATTTCTTAACAATAAATAAACGAGCCCCTTAGCATCAAAAGCGCTCCTGCGTTAAAACTGAGCACAGTTGAATCCCTTGCATCACCAGGGGCAAGCAGGCGACGTGAGAAAAGCACGGATGGATGGATGGATGGATGGATGGATGGATGGATGGATGGATGGATGGATGGATGGATGGATGGATGGATGGATGGATGGATGGATGGATGGATGGATGGATGGATGGATGGATGGATGGATGGATGGATGGATGGATGGATGGATGGGTGGATGGATGGATGGATGGATGGATGGATGGATGGATGGATGGATGGATGGACGGACGGACGGACGGACGGACGGACGGACGGACGGATGTGGCTGTACCCTATAGATGGGGTGGCAGATAACGCCATTTAGCCATAATACTTAGTGAATTAACCACTAGATTTATCTTTTTCCCCCTTTATATAGTGAAGTTGAGGATAGGTACTTCGCAGTGAAGGGTTTAATTTTCACTCGTGCCTTGACTTTATCCGCTAATCAAATAACCTTCTTCTAGTTAATTCTACCCGCTTAAAGTCAATTTTACCCTCCCTGTCCCTAAACACCAGTGCTTTGAAAAGCTCTCAGTCATCATCCTGAAAAAAAGTTCCATAGATCTCAAGTGCGGACTTCTTAATCATGCCAATTCTCCACATGTCAGTCTCCGTTTCCTTCACCTTCTTCTTAACCAATGGTTATTGTTGGTTTGGCCACCTGCTGTTTTCTAAGTAATTACCAGTCAATTTCCTGGTTCGCTTTCTCCATTTTGTGTCGACATTCTTCATCTACAAGTAGCTCAAAACCTTCCTAGCCCAACGCTCCTCCTTTTACGAAGCGCGCCTCCGACGACGTTACGATAGGCGCCACGAAATCGCACTGCTGCAACCACTGTTACAAAAGACGGCGACGCCAACACGGTCCTGAAGGCGCCACTGCTTCGAATCCCACCGGGAAGGTCACCAGCCGTTTGGTAGCGTAGGTTTCTCAGCTCGCGACTACTTCTGTGTAGAGCTGATAGTCGAGCGGACGAGACGACGGTGAGTTAAACAAGGTTTATGTACAACATAGATACCGAGGCGTTACAAATTCGGCACTGGGGCCGAGAGTTTAGAGACTTCAAGAGCCGAGCTCTTTTTTCTGACACATAGAACTACAGCTCACGACGCGCCGCAGGGCTTTTTTTTATATGCACCGGGAGGATTCTTTGAGTAACCAAATGTCGAACCAGAAGCACCGCTGGCCGTGAGGTCAGAATCCTCCAATGGGGTCGCCGCTGGGGTGCGTCATTCTCATCGAATCTGGAGCCGCTGTGCGTGGTTGCAGCCAAGGACGAATGACGTCGCCACGCATTGCGTAAGACTCGCCAGACAGGAAAGCGCCTTTTGCTGCAAGGGGCTCGCTGTGCGTGCGCGACAGAAAGGCACAGCTGCTTGATGACGCCGTTGAGTTGTTTGCGTCAGGCGGGCTCGCGTGCTGGCCTTGACACAGATTGCCTTTTTCAGAGGCATGGACGGTGTGGACTCGCAGGCATAATACTCCCCCATTTCTCTCAATCGCTTCTCAAATTTTATTTTGCTGCTAGCTTTCCTCCTCTCAAATGATATCTATCTCA